ACGGTTCAAAGGTCAAAAATCAAGAAACTTGACAAACAAGATCTTTCCTGCTTGCCAGCTATGTAAAATATGCTTTTGTATACACACATATAAATATTTGTCCAGGATTTGATGCTGTGGCTTCCAAGTTTATTGGTTATTCTTACTGTCCGTAACTTCTTTTCGCAAGATATATGACATGTACTTTGCTTGTCATCACTCTTTTTTTTCATATGATTCCAGCAGCTCTTTTTGTATTTAACCCCATGCTAATGGGCAGTGGTGACAGAAAATCCAGGGCGAAAGCCCAGAGCATTCATTCTGTGTTGTGGAAATACCAACGCTGGATTTTCTGGCATCTTTCATTAAAACAAAAGGAAAAGTAAGAATGAAGCATGACACAGGCCAGCATGTCCTACAGTTGGGATATGAGATCACAAGATTTTGATTGAATACTTATTTATGCCCATTTGATTCCTCACTTGCTGCTCTTCAAAATGGTACAGGGTGACCTAGGAGCTTTTCCACACCTTTACCCTGACTTAGCATATCCCATAGGATACCTGTCATTTACTTGAGTGCCTCTCTTGACTTTACCTGTTGCAGATGATAAAAAAGAGTCCTCCTGCAGTTTGGTGACCCAGTGTTTGCCAAATTCCTGACTTACCATCCTAGTTTATGCCTGCAATACCTGATATTCCTTGTTAATTATTTATCTAAGCACTCATTAGCACCTGATATCAGACTGTATAAGGTGTAATCAGTTAGAGATGCCCAGGCAAACACAGTTACTGGATTAAAAAATACTATTTCTTTCTTAATTATTGTAACTAATGGTATAACTGGAGTTGTTCCAGATACACAGTCCTGGAACAACCCCTCTGCCTGCACTTTGGGAACTTACCGCACTTACTGCTAACATAGCGCAGAGGTATTCCTAGTCAAATGGTGACAAGTCAAGGACTAGTTACTTTCCTTCAGTGCCTATTACTTAAAGGCAATGTGTATTATTAAATATAATTTCCTCCTTAATTTCCTTTCTATAAAACTTCCAACATCATAATTTTCCACTCACACACTCTGCTAAAAATACAAAATCACCCTGATCTGTGCTGAGACCAGGTTCACCTTTGCTGCGAGTGGCAGGGAAATAGAGGAGAAGGTAGGCAAAAAGGGGCTGCCCAGGCAGGGTGGATACTCTGGCATGGTGTGAGGGTACGTATGTGCCACGCTCTCAGGCTCCAGTTCCCCCCTCTCCCTGCCAGCCCGCACTCGAACTGAGCTGCTGTAGGAAGGGAACAAGGGTTTGTTTGTTAACAAACTTTGTTAGCAAAGTTTGTTAACTCAACAAACTGAGTTTGCCTTTGTAATTCACAGGGGACTGTAGGAAATCAAATGCCTGCAGATTATAAATAAAATCTGGTCGATTATATTTTTCACCTCTTAAATAAAATGGCGAGTAAATTTAGACTGGGCAGAAGCTGGAATGAGGAAAAACCTGAAAATCAGAAAAACACTTCGGAAGTGCTTGAGCCACCCTAACATTTGCCTAAATTAAGATGCCGTTCCTCCCTATACTGAGCTATTTTAAACCAAAGTTCTTGGCTCTGCTAAAAGCACTTTATGCTCTCTATTGTTGAAGCAAAACACATCAGAATTATTTCTAGGTAATCCAATTGAAAGGAAAACTATCACAAAAGTTAGCTTTCTTTGAACAATAAGTATTACACAACTTCTTGAGGTTTCAGTTCCAGTTTCACTACATTTGAGACTGGAAATCGGAAACACAGTCGTGTCAGCTATATATCACATCAAGGCCAATATGACAAAAATAAACACCAGCAATAGAAAAAGGGCAGAGAGGTGAACAAATTGTCCTTGCTTTATTATCATAACTTCTTACTCCAGAGCACTCGAGAGTTTGCATTTAAAAGTAGACAGAGCAGGTATGAGCAGGTGTATACGTGTGCATGCACATACATGCTGAAAAAGTGAATTATTGTGAATTAGAGTTCAGCTTTTGTCAGATACAATGGCCAGGAACGCATGCAGCAGGAAAAAAAAAAAAGTAGGTTAGCAGAAGAGGAGATTATATTTTTTTCTTTATAGGAATGAAGAGTGTGACATAACTGAGTTCTTAAGTGGTCCACAAAACAGGCAAAGATAGGAAATACTACCTTAGTATCAGTGGCTTCCCCAGATCTGTCTGCAGAAATGCAGAGCACCTTGCAATGCTCCTAGACATGATGCTTTCATTTGCCGTGAGTGGCTGGATATTAACAGATCTACACAGGATTGTGGCATCCAACTGGATTCAAAATGAAGTGACGTGCATGATGTTTTCATATGAAACATATCCCCCTTGAATTCAGGTCTGGAGACAGCTGATTTTGCAGTACTGCTAGTACAAGTATGAATGTATGAAATATTCTGAATCCATATGTGAAGTACCCTGCCGAACATTACCAGGCTTGCATGAGTTTACACAGAAGGGCAGATGCCTCTTAAAAAAAATGGTTTCTCCAAATCTGCTGCAACTGTTTCACAAGTCATCGCTAATCAGAGCATTTACTGAGTGTTCAAGACAAGCACAGGCATATGTAGCTGATTCTCACCACGTAAGTGTAAAATATATGCTTAAATAGCAATATTCACACATTTCGTAAATGTAGAAATAAATAATAAAAGAGATATAATGGATTCCCTTGCTCACAACTCTTTGTTCATGTCCCTGCCTCCCTCCAGGAGTAACAAATAACCTTATTGTTTCTTGCTTTGCTGACACTTCTGCCTCTCTGCTTCTGAGATGCCAGTCACACTGTTCTTTCACACGGATTAAAACCATTATATTAAACTCAAAACAATTGATCCACATTCAGCTTGAAATTTGTTGCCTTTAAGATCTCAGGAAGCCTGTGTATCTGAAACTTTGCCTTCTTTCCCCGCCCCCCGCCCCAGCTATATTAGCTGGTTAGCTAAAAATCTTTACAGATCTTCCCAAGCTTTTCCAGCAAGTATGAGACACTTTATTCAAAAGATAGGAAACAAAATTGCTGTCTTTGCTCCTGAGTTGAAGTAATGGGAAAAGAGGCAAGAACATTAGAAATATGAAAACACTGCAAGAGGTTTCTGAGTGTGTTGTTCTTGAAATAAGGTTATGCATAAATAACGTCAAATTATATGAATTGTATCTGTGCTGCCTTGTATTTTACTCTTTTTTCAGACCAGAATTATTTATCACTTCTTTCAGTGTGTTTGGTATCATATGCAATGGCCGGCACTGACTGCGCTGCTGGACTGGATTGCATCCAGAGGCTCCAAAGTTTTTATAGGCTGGAAAGCACAAGGTGGCCAGCTGGGATGTTTGGCTTGTGGATGGAAGTTGCCTCAGAGGCACATGGCTTGTTAATGGTATTAAGCTATCCTCTGAATCCCGGACTCACTACAATATACAGGTCAATGTGTAGGACAACACGAGACCAAACGATGCCTGGGACACCTATCTGTGAGCCTCACATGTGCTCTAAAGCCTACAGTCCAAAATGTGTCATGATGTGATCTCCTGTGAACAAACAGCAGATTGATCAAAATTGCTTGGGTTTAATTATCTGAGTTGTGTCTGTGTTACCAACAGATACCTCTCTTATTATTCTGGCAGCTGCTGTTAAGCACAGCATCAAGCAAGCAATAAAAATGAGGAGGATGTTGAAGGAACTAATCAAAGGACTAATGTTTTAGCATAGGTAAGGAACAATTTTGAGGCATAATACAGCCCAGATTTTAAAAGGTCTGTAACTTCTGATTTCAGTACTTTTGCAAGTGTCTGAAACAGACACAAAAATCCTTCAAGATGGAGCCTAGACCCAGATGTGACGCAGGCAAATGCAACTATGTGTGTAATATAAAGGGATTTGCATTAAAACCAAATTAAAGATTATTACAGGAATGGAAGCCAGAAAAATAAGCAATGAAAACATATTTTAGTTATTTTATCTTTCAGATATACAATATGATACAGTTGTACCAGGGACTGAAAGGACGTAAATCTACTATGGAGTCCTAAATCAGATGCACTGAGATAACAGGAACATCCTATTCCAGTTTCCTGACAACCAGCTAATACAAACACAAATAAATAATATAGAAGCTAACAGAGAATGTGCAATAAAATTCTACTTAAAGTTATTTTCTAGAAGAACAACCATTTCTTCCAAAGATTTACGTGTCATCTTGGTAGCTGGATGTCTTGGTGGTTTAGAGGAGCATCTAGCTGGAACACTTAGATAATTCACAGAAGTAACACAAGAGACCTTCAAGATGGCATCTGCTCTCTCCTCAATATATTCTGAAGCACGCTAACTGAGTTCACTGCAAGCAGGCAGATGTGTGACTTGGCAGGTTCTTGTCTGAATTTGGTATACCACAAATCACATCATGGTGGAAAACCCACGGAGCTTTCTAGACCTGGTATTCCTGACTCTTGGCTATCCAGCGGCCAGCAAACAGCCAGCTGAGGAACAGCTGTGCAGATGATGAAGGAATCGATATTATGTGGTAAAATACAGTATGCAAGCCAGAATCTCTCTGTATGATAGTTTCAGGTAAGTTTGGCCAGACCCTTTATGAAAATGAGTTTAATTTTTCCATTGTCTTACCTATTGCATCTTGTACCAAGTGAGCAATCTAAGCTCTCTCTCATCTGAATTCATATTTCCCCTTCCCAAAACACAATAATCAGACACTTAGTTTCCAAGGCCAAATGCTAGGATTGTTTTTACGAACAAGTAAGCTGTGTGGGAGATGTATGACAGGCATAGTTTCACTTTTCTTTCTGAAATATGTGAACAGGAAACATTACTCTCAGTTTAATTCTGGGAAATAAGGATAAGAGGAATAGCAATGGATTTCTTCTATTCAAGGAAAGGAAATGAAGGGTGAAGCTTTCTGGAAGCAGCAGAATAATTTTTGATACTATAAGTATTTGGTATCTGGATGGAAGTATGCAGCATTTTAAGACGTGGGTTTGCCAGTCCCAGAACTAGGGTGAAATTGCAGTTAAAAATTAGTTAAAGCCAAATTTATAGCCAGCTAAGGCAAACAGAGGATACGGATTCAGTTGATTAACTTAGTACATTAAAGCAAATCTGAACAAAAAGCCTACAAAAGAAACAAACATAAGCTTGTTCCAGCTGCCTCCTCTGTCTGAAGATATAGGTCCTCTTTGTGCTGCTGGTGCAGATCTAAAGAAAAGAAAACAAACAGGATGTTCACAGCACAGAGCTGAGTTAGGATTCTTTTAAATATCAGGGGTTTGTTGCCAAGGATGAAGTTTGCAGTCCAAGTGCTAAGCTAGAAGTTTCTCTATAAGAGCTCGCCACCAGATTCCCTTTGGCTGTCCTGGTTTTATAATCAGGATATCAGTGTGCAAAACCCTGGGAACACCCCTTTCTACCTTAATAGCTGAGCCTCCTTGTCTCTCCACATCCATTTACTGTCTCTAGCCTCACGCTTGAAATTGTATAGAGCTCTTCTAGACAGCAGTGGTCCTAGAGGTCTATATTTTTACAGCACGTCATAAAACAGTATCCAGATCCATTTCTAAGTCTCCCTGACATCGCAATAATGCAAGTAATAAATACCACTACTAAGAGGTTGCATCTGGCTTCCTTTCGGCTTGTGTTTGTAAGCCATTTACGCCATCTAGTGACTATTTTTTTACTTGCAAGTTTCATTCCAACATCAGGGTGTCAACAAGCCAAAGTTTGTAAAGTTAATGACCCCCAGTAAGCGCTAAGCACATCACAGTGCCTTCGAGCCATCCCCCTGCTACCCTGACACAGCCCTCTCCTTTGGTATGCTGATGTAACAGGAGCTGCGGTGACAAAGTCCCTTGCACAACTCCCATGTTTTTGGGCTCGGGACATTATTCTTTGGGGGCTGAGAAGCCTGCTATCAGTCTTGTAACAGCAAGTAGGCATTGTGAAAGGGGATGCAACGCAGCCTGCATGCCTAGTCTCGCTATTTATTATGGAAGCATGAAAATGTCATGCGTAGGCTGAGCGCACACTGTGCAAAGAGAGCCCTTTCTTAGCAGATACATGCTTCTAATAGGAACAGTTTGGTCAGCAGTGGTATCACTATGTCAGTTAATGGACCATCAGAGAGCAGGGATCCATCCACAGAGAAAACAGATCTAGAAGATACTCATCAAATAATTTATATTCATCTGCTTAAGGGCAGCTAATTTCAGCTGAGGTGTTATTTATTGCAGAGAAGTAAGTGATTTGGGGAAGAGTGTAAGTATTCATTGGCTTGAAGTATTTTAGCTACTTAAAGTTCAGGGAGAGGCAGTGATAGTTAGCATTCTGATTGAGCAGCTCTGTCTTGATTAGGGATAACATAGATATGAAGCACATCAAAGCTATTACATTGCCATGCAGACAGGAGGGAATAGAAGGCTCAGGAAGGAAAGGCACAAGGAAACATTTCCTAAGGAGGATAACAGCTGAGTTGCCTAGTAGTTACCCCAGGAAAGTGTGAGACCGGTGCTTAGAATACACTAGTGATTATGTTAATTTAAGTACTGACATGGATGGAAAGGAAGGGGTGGCTGCTCCCCTGGTTACATACTGCAAGAGCTATGTGGTAATACTGGAGAACTGGTATGCTCATCCCTTAGGTGAAAGAAAAAGACATTAATGGTTTCCAAAAGCCTTTTCATCCACATTTCCTCAGCTGAGGAATGTACCCACATCACAAAACTTTGAGGGAAATGGTTTAAAACCTGGGAGGAGAGAAAAATCTGTTAAGAGTTCACAATATTATATTTTTTTAAAGTCCTGTAAAGTGCTTTTTCCTCCAGTTTGTGAATATTGTCACCACGTTCACAGCTGCAATTTTGCATGGGACAGCTGTATTTTGCTTTGACACATGAACAAAAGCCTTACCATTCACTGGCAGAACAAGGAAACCCTATTTCAATCCACCGTGCAAGTGGTATCCAGTAACAAACAAATGCCTTAACAGGCCTGGAGGCCGATTCTATGATGTACTACCTAGGAGGAGTCTGGAGATACCAGTGGTATCTAAAATGCCAGTTTTCATCACACATTTATAGGTTGGTGCTTTGGATGTAAGAATAAATGTTGTTGCATCACAAGATAAGTAAAAGCTTTCCGTGACCACCAGGAACAGAGAATACTCCCTTTCCCTGTAAGGGTGTATTAAAAACTGAACATATGCTACAGAAAGTGATATACACCTCCTTTTCTGTACTGCATGAAGCATTACTGCCACACACCCAGAGGCAGGCAAGCAGGAGTCACACCTCTCTGCTGCCATACCCAGCGACAGCAAATCAGGTTTTTCATAGCAGAGGTTATCATTGCAGTATTACAGAGGTATTAAAATACAGAGTATTTTCAGGTGCTTGAATTAGGGCAGAAAGGACAGTAGGAGATAGGATGTGGCCAAATGTATGGATTATGCATAAAAATACTGTAATTAGAGAACAACTTTTATGCATCTATGTATCCTACAACTTTCCAAACTGTGAGGAAGTTTTCACATTCAGATGTTCAAGTACCTTATGTGTACCTATACATGCAACAGCATGTATAAGTAGCTAAGAAACAGCTAAACAACAGCTAAGAAACTTAGCCACAATTAAAAACAGTCACCTTTACTGTAAATTCACTGAAATACATCATACATTAATCTAACCCTCTTTATTATATAAAGAAAAATATGGATAGGAAAGGAAACTATTAAAAGCTAGTTTGGGAGTGATGCCTTCTAATGAAGAAAGTTGTATCTTGGATGTAATCTGCATTTTCTGCAGATAACCTACCAGCCCAAGGTAAATACATTAAAATACGGAAATTGGGTTTGCACACAAAATGGAAGACTAAAAAGAAACTTCCTCAAAATTTGGACCCAAAATTTCCAGTAGCTGGAGAAATGTCCTTTAGATCTGTTGCCATTTGACCTACAATTTCATTATTCAAGGAAGAGTATTAATGAAATAATTTTCAACTTTGTAATAGATTTTGCATCAGAACATTGGTATTTACAAGCTTCATTCATACAGTGTGATTGCGTGATCAATGAGAACTGATTAACCCCTAATTTTGAATAGCAGGTGCTCACAGACAATTGTGCACAAGTTGTAGATAGAAACTGCTTACTCAATACACAGTAAGTAATAAATTCAAGAATACTGTATATTGCGTATGGGTGATATATCATAGATAACAGAGGCAGAATCTGTGGAACTGTTGATGTCTGTGTTATTTCTTTGGTTGTAATGACAGTGAGGATGGACTGAACTTCTTTTACTTACGATGAAAGAGTACACTTAGAATCATCAGGATAATCCAGGCAGAGTAAGAACATTACAGACCTGTGAAGATATAATTTTATTTAGCATCTTTCAGGCAGAAAACTGAGGAGAACAAATGAAAAACAAAAAAAAACCCTTGAGAGTATTACCATGTCTAAAGCTCCCCTTCAATCATATTTCTCTTACAATCTACTGTGAGTAACTAGAGCTGAGAATAACTTGTAATTTTGCAGCCATTCAATAGTGTTTTTAACTGTTGTTTAGATTTTCAATCCAAATAAAGATTTTACAGTGAAGTGGAATACATGAGGCCATCTTCTGTGTCTGACATTGGGTAAGTACAACGTTCCACTTAATTATACAATATGGTGTTGTGTTTTGCTCAATTCATGGCCTGAAAATGCTACGTCTGAAAAATGTGGCATCACCCCTCCAACACACCAGTCTCCTACTGAAGACACAACGTTACTGGCACTTACGTATCAGAAGGTGAGAAATAATTTAAAATAGATGTGGTACTTCTGCAAATACACCATATTAATGAAGGATTTTCACTTACTTGTAATTGTCAGTGCAGGTGACATCATAACCAAGGGTTTTCAGCCTGTTTTCTAGTACCTTTACAGTATGAGTTCCACAGGAATCTCTGTGAGAAAGGATTTTAATATTACTGCAAGTCTTTCATTACCTAATTTCCTTTCACTGAATGTGATGGAATTAGTAAAGTAAATCCCCGTTACTTTGCCTCTTCTATATTCCTTAACATCCATGGAAAACTGGTGTACATTGCTATTTATAATGCTTCATTTTCTTACAGTTGTTTAACAAATTCAGTTTGCAGAGACTGGAAGATTGGCTTCATCCAGTGTAGCGTTTGCAGATTCTATTAACCAATATTCCCACCTTTAATATTTCACTAGACAAACAGAAAAAGAGCAAAATAATTGTGTGAAATAATAAGTGTTTCATTTGTAATATTCTTTGGCAGCTATTTACGTGGTGCTAAAGTTGATGCTAGCTGTCTTCACAGAATAAGTTGGTTAAAATAAATTAGAATTATTCTTGTTGTCAGAAGCTTGTCCTCTCTCTTGAATACAGAACAGAAGAATAAGACAAGGAGAGATAAAAAGCCAGAAACAATCCCAAATGAAGCTTCTGTGTCTAGCACTGTTTTTTTAATTTGTGGTCCAATTAGCAAAAGAAAGTTTAACATAGTTCAGAACCTACTGAGACCTCTAAAACTTGCATCAACATCAAGTATTAAGGCCAGTGCTGCTTACCCATTGTCAGTAAATACAAATGACTCTAAAGAAATCATATGGGGTCCAACAAAATAATTTTAAAAAGCAATTAATAAAAATACAGAAATATTCCCATGAATCCAGACAAGCACAAACTGAAAGAGAAATTAACAGCCAGTACCTTTCCTAATTTTTCTTTGTAATAAGGGTGACCTTTGCAAGGGTGAGCTGTATGCGTTTGGTTTTTTTTCCAAAAGGGTATGATTCTTTGATTAAAGAGAAAGGCTGAGAAACACTAATCTGAATTATGCTTCATAAGACTCCACAGCACTACGATAAAATAGGTCATCTGGGTTGGCCATGCCAAAATTGAATGAAAGAGAAGCAAAAGGTAATAGGAAAGAGAAGAGATGAGATGTGAAAGGGAAATGACACAAAATAAATGGATGCAACTAAAAAATGTTGAGTAGCAAGAACAGAAGCCTCATGCTCCCAAGCATGTAGATGACATCAGGGATTCAGTCAGCAGTGGTGGATCTAGTGACGTCTGAGGCCATTTCTCTGGCTCTCTTCAGCCAGGGCAGTTTCAAGACCAATGAAGTGCCACCGTGTTATATTAAACTGCAGGGACCCTGCAGGTGGTTGGGGTAAAACTGACTTCCTCTGCTCCTCCACCCCGATTCATCTATTTACATTTGTAGGGACCCCACAAAAGCTATAATGAATAGACTATTTAATTCTTCCTTTAATCAATCCCAAGACCTAATTTCTGGCCTAATGATTTCATTTTTTTTAACTTCAGAGTCCATTTTCCATTATGTTTCTGTTGCAAATTAACACTTGGTCTTTGGCTATCTATCAGCAGACTATTCTGTTTGGACTAATCTGTTTTGGTTTGTTTATTTGTTTGTTTGTTTATTTTTTTAAAATTTTTATTAAATTAACAGCAAAATTAGAACTTTTTAAAGCCCACTTTTTATTATTAGATTGATTTTAAGCATTGAGAGAAGACAAGCCCCCTGGTGGTATTTCTCTGCTTCTACTAATTTTCAAACAGTTAGGACAGGTGAAAATGAAAAGAATGCATATGGCAAGGCGAAAGAAATATTTCATGTCACCATTTAATCCAAAATTCAAATTTATGCTTTTCTTAGTAAAACTGTACGTGCTATTATCTTCATTCAAGATCTGAGATCCACACACACATCTCTCTAACTAAGAGTGGACTCCAGACCTAATATTAGAATTTATTTATATTTTGTCTAATACTGGTATTTCTATACTCTTTGGGAATGGTAGGGTGTGTCTTCTGTGTTAGTGAAAGCATCTAAAATGTTTTTAGTTTAATTAATATATAATTATAATCAAACTGAAAGCTAAGGTGAAATTTTGAAGACAGGTCCAAAAAGGAGAAATGAAATTTTTTGGAAGACATAACTTACGTATCTGGTCCTTCAATATCATCCACAACCCAGATGACAATTTGTGAGATTTTGTCTTTCTGGAAATTAGGTATTTCATAATCTGCAAAAAAACTGATTCAAGAAACAAATTTTTAGAACTATAAAGACCATGAAAAAGAAATAATCTTTTTCCCCTTTGCATTAATCAAGGCTCTGATCCTTCTGTTACATTTATATCTTCTGATTACAATCAGACTCAACACACAGAAAAAAAATCTGATTCACATTCTAAATGTCCTCAAAGGTCAAAGGCATTTAATCAGAAGGTTTTTTTTCATATTCTTCATCTTAGAAGAACTCAGCTGAAAAAAAGTTACAACTTAGAGATGAACCAGAATGAAATGAACTTTAAAAAATGCAAAAACAAACCAAAAAGCATTTGATACTTAGTAAAAAAGAAAAAGGTCATTCTTGTAGTTATTGCTTTTAGATACAATACAATTTTGCTTTAAATAAAAAAATAACAACAGTCTCAAGACAAATATATTTTTAGGTACAAAATCACAGCAACAGTAACATGAAGTATTTGTCTAGGATACATAAGACCATAAAGGAGAAACTTCTAGATGTGTCCATCCCTCACCTAGGGAATCTTCCACTTTATTGCTTTGTGTAAATTGACTTTGATAAGTATTTAAATAACAATTGAAACAAAATAATAAAAAGACAACTAAATCATAGAATCAGAGAATGTTTTAGGTTGGAAGGGACCTTAAAGATCATCGAGTTCCAACCCCCCTGCCATGGCCAGGGACACCTCCCACTAGACCAGGTTGCTCAAAGCCCCATCCAGCCTGGCCTTGAACACTTCCAGGGATGGGGCATCCACAACTTCCCTGGGCAACCTGTTCCAGTGCCTCACCACCCTCACAGTGAAAAAGTTCTTCCTAATATCTAATTTAAAGATGCCAAATCCAAACGAGTATTTTAATGTCTGCAAACTGAATTTTTTGTGAGATGCAGGCATTTCAAAGCCACAGATTTCCAACCCTTCCAGCAAGATGTACTGTAATGATTTCCATCCTTTTAATTGCTTTTTTTTCTCCCTCAGAAAGCTTGTACGGGCTGTGTCTGCACTGAATGCTTGGTCCAAGCCTGAGCCTAGGTGTGTGCTCTAATTTGCCTATCATGGGTTTTCTTAAATGTCTACATCTGGGCTGCAGTGTCTCTTAGCCACTTTAAATGGTCTGAGACCCCCCAAACTAGAAGAGATTGTTAGTTGTCAGCTCCTGGACGAGACCAGTGGTGGCAATGTCACCACCGCTCTGTCCTCCTGATGCCTGGAGGCAAGCTACTGGTGCTCTGGCTTGCAAGCTCTGTTGGCAGCCAGCTGAGAGCTGTTCATGAGGTTAGCAAGTTAATTTAAACTTCTGAAGAATTGGAACACGAGGAGGCGGATACCAACAGTTCCCCTCTCTGGTTGACTCTGATACAGTGGTGGTTAACCAGAGATCAGTAGCAGCCACAGCAGGTTTGTCTGTCTGTCCAAGGTGTTCAAGCCTGTCTTAAACACATAGTGAAAATATAACCCAAAATAAAGATTCCAATTATTTTTAACTCATTTGACCCTTCGTGAATATGTTATTGCCAGCAAAAATTCAGCTTTCTTCAAAATATAAAGAAATCTTTAACTAGAGGAATCAGAAACTGTGGAAGAACAATGTACAACTGGAGTCAGTAAACTGATTTTTGAACCAACTAGTATTATTAAAGAATTCTGCCAATTATATACATACGGTGTGGATGAGCAAAGTTATTTTGCAGTGAAGTGATAAATAAACCTTAACTGACATGGTAACAAGTAACTTAATAATGATTCATGCGTACAAACTGTAACACAGGAAAAACTTTGGAAGTGGCTTTGAAATGACGGAAAACGGACCAGAGAGATATTTGGGAAGACAGGTAGATCTTTCAGATTACCTTCTACTATTAATTATTCAACTCTAAGCCTCTTTCAAACCAGATCTTCAGTTATAAATGGGCCAGAAGATACACAGCAAAGAAAACAGATGGAGTAACTGGCTTTGGTTTTTTTCATGGCAGGCTGTGTTCCAGTGGTGGAGATTTCACTGGTTATGAAACCACCAGGCAGGTAACCCAGGGAACTGGTGGAAAGAATTAATTTATGTGCCAGAGGTTTCTGAAATAAGGAATCTGTAGATTAACAGAAATAAGGAGTCTGTTTCTGAAATAAGGACTCTATCTGGGATTCTGGGCTTTGACCTGCTGCCAGATGTTATGATTGGCAGAAGACTTCATCCCAGCTGACCACCTGACCAACCCAAGGAGACCATGTAAGTCTTCCTGATTAGCTAAAAGCTGTGTACAGAGATGGACCTTTTGGAGGATGGAGGTAAGTAGGTGTTTTAGAACAGATGGTTCTTGTTTCTCTCTTATCCAGAGAGAAAATTAACTTTGTTGATGATTATTTTTAGTCCTCATTGAGCACACAGGAGTAGGATCTGTTCTATGGGTTTTTTAAAGATGGTTTCTTTGATCTGCCTTGGACAGGAGAGTTGCTGAGGTGAGGAAAGATGTATTTTTCATCAAAGGTAGGCAATCACTACAGCCACATATTCAGTAAAAGTTCTTAAGGGTGTATTTTTACAAGGAATTTTCATTGTCAGCTTAGATGAACTTCTGCATATCGGTACACCTATAAATCAGGAAAATACATCTGTCCTTAATATACAAGGGATAAGGAGAAAAGGAAGCTAATCCTTGCTGTTATCCTTCTCAATGATCTTTTTTACTTTCTTAATCCACAACGGATCTCAAGCTATCTCCTCTCTTGTCATGGAGAAATAGCAGGACCAAGCACTTTCACTATAGAACTTACCAAGTTTGCTCCTAGGCCTGACAGAGGCTATGCTCCCTGTAACACTGTCCTCTCCTTGGAGATGTCCCTGGATAGGAATTCTGTAACACTCATCTTTTTTAAGACATACACATTTTGCCACAGTATGTATGCTGACTTGAAGGCTGCTTTCAAAGAGCATTTATCCTGCTTGCCACAGCAGTTTATAAACTGCAGGAGTCAAAAGGATTGTTTCCGTCCATTTCATGTTAATTCCTACAGCTGGGGACAATTAACTCTGCCCACAACTGAGCAGACTTCCACGCAACAGGCTTTCAGCTACACTTCCCATGCTTTGTGCAGCAGAAGACCCAAACAACCAGTTGACCCTTTTTTTTGCAGGCATCAGACTTTGTACACACAAATAAGTCAGTTTTCTTACCCTGGGCTTGGATAAGCTCCTCCAACTGCAGAACCGTTCAACAAGACGTGTATCACCCCAGAACTGTGCTGTGCATACTGAAATACACAATGATTTTTTTTTTTTTTCAGAACTCATCTTACAGCATTTGTCACATAACTCAGTATTGTATTGCAAGCAATAATATCCAAGAAAGAATTTTACCAAGAAGAATATCAGAATTCTGAAAATAATACCAAATTAGCACCCCAGCAGGTCACTGCAGTAGAGAGGGCAAGAACTAAATAGCCAATTCATTAATTCAATGCACCTTCTCAAACTATTTTCTCACACCTATAGTTTCTTAACATAGGAAGAAAGCATTCTGTGTTGGGTTTGATCTGTGAACGAAGGGTTTCCACCCAGGGCTATCAAATGTCACTTAGGACCTGTATTCAGTAGACAACTGGTACGCTTATTGTGCTTAGTATATGCTTAATATATATTAACAAAGCTAACACAGAATTTTAACACATTATCTAGCTGAGGTGAAAGTTAGGTTCTTCTTGATAAAACACTGTACCCAGTGTAATATGGCAGAGTTACAGACTTAAACCTGTTTTGATCTGGCAATGTTTTCCTGTACCACCACTCATTAATGTACAAAGTCAGCGCTAATGCAGTATTTACAGTGATTGAGGCCATCCTCCAGAAAGATTCCACCGCGTTGTTTTCACATTCCGCTGTGGTAGGGCAGGATTCATAGTCCAGTCCTGTAGGAAGGCATGTGATTTGTGTTATTAGAGAGATGATAATAGCTATAAAAAGTGACCTTAGAAAGCAATTAAATATATTTGTGCATTACTCACTGAACATATAAGATGTTCTGACATAACGCTGAAAGCTGAAAATTGTATTTTTTTCAGTAATTTTCCATCCTTCACAGTTTACACAAACAGTGACCTTCTGTGGATTCAATAATTTGGCTGAAACGGCTCTAACTCTATACCTAGGATGCAGAGCGCTCCACATTCAGAGGACTAAGAAGGAAGTTTATCTCTTGTGCAGCACTGTTAGATTTCACTGTGAGCTCCCCTGGCTGCAATGTTAAATATTCACACAAAACGGGAGAGAACGAGACAGCAAAGCTATCCTTGATTTTTCATGGGGTAAGAGCAAAATTAGCTCCTCCAGAACACACCCGTTGGGCTCCATTACAGTTTTACAGACAGATGTTTAATATAGCACTCATTGTCTTACCAGCGCTGTTTGCCTGCCCACACCAGTTTAGAAAATCTGCAAAGAAGCCAAACAGAGTATCACCCAGAGACATGTAGCGACGGCCTCTGCCAGCAAAGGTATTGACTAGCAGCTGATTATTTTCCCAGAAGATAGACTATATAAAAAAAGGAAAAAAAACAGAGAAATGAACCATCACTTGGGTGTGGACACAATGAGATTATGGGGTGTTAAAAACAGTTTAAAACATGTTTTGGTATTTCTTTCAAAATAAAGCTAATAACCATAAATGTTAGCTATCTTTTTAGAGGAAAAAAAGTGTGGGGTTTTTTTACAGTGGTGTAAATTCTGATCACTAGAGGCTTGAGGGGAATTCATACCATGATGGGAATGGAGCTAGACCTATATTAAACAGTTAGGCCTAGCTTTGCCTTCCTCAGCAGACAGATTTAGGAAAAGGGAGAAAAAAAGGAAGATAGATATTTATAAGCCAGATATATCTTACCAGAATTCTCTCACACTGCTATGTTGACTTATGGTGTGAAAAAATCATACATCTAGCTGTTATTTCTGTGTTTGCAAAACTCATTCAAGAATTAACCTATGTTTACAGGAGTATTTATTAGTTTAGTTTGTATCGTTTAAAGATAAGGCATAATTGTGCTAGAGGAAAAAATGCTTTAAAGCACAACCTTTTAGAGAAGGCCAAAGCACACATTCTGATGGGATACAATGGCATAAAGACCTGTGGTGTTCTACACTTTCACAGTTGTCTGCAATTGCCAGCACATCAAACCCATAACAGCATCTTATCTCATTTCTGCTTACGCTTGTTTAACATGTCAATGTTTAACATGTCATTGCCCTGAGACTTGGCTGTGAGGAGTGGAAGCAAAAGACAATAGCAGGAACAGTCTTTGCAGGCAGAGCACCTAACTTGAGGAATCACAGAATGGTCAGGGTTGGAAGGGACCTCTGGAGATCATCCAGTCCAACCCCTCTGCCAGAGCAGGGTCACCTACAACAGGTTGCACAAGACAGCGTCCAGGCGGGTTTTGAATGTCTCCAGAGTGGGAGACTTCACAACCTCTCTGGGCAGCCTGTTCCAGTGCTCTGCCACCCTCAAAGTAAAGAAGTTCCTCCTCATGTGAAGATGGAACTTCCTATGTTCAAGTTTGTGCCCATTACCTCTTGTCCTATCACTGGGCACCACTGAAAAAAGACTGTTCCCATCCCCCTGGCACCCTCCCTTTAAGTATTTATAAGCATTAATAAGATCTCCTCGCAGTCTTCTTTTCTCTAGACTAAAGAGACCCAAGTCCCTCAGCCTTTCCTCATAAGAGAGATGTTCCAATCCCCTAATCATCTTTGTAGCCCTTTGCTGGACCCTCTCCAGCAGTTCCCTGTCCTTCTTGAACTGGGGAGCCCAGAACTGGACACAGTACTCCAGATGTGGCCTCACCAGGGCAGAGTAGAGGGGGAGGATGACCTCCCTCGACCTGCTGGCCACACTCTTCTTGATGCACCCCAGGATGCCATTCGCCTTCTTGGCCACCAGGGCACATTGCTGGCTCATGGTCCTCCTGTTGTCCACCAGGACTCCCAGGTCCCTCTCTGCAGAGCTGCTCTCCAGGAGGTCAGCCCCCAACCTGTACAGATGCATGGGGTTATTCCTCCCCAGATGCAGTGCCCTACACTTACCCTTGTTGAATTTCATAAGGTTCCTCTCCCACCAACTCTCTGGCCTGTCCAGGTCTCGCTGTATGGCGGCACAGCCTTCTGGCGTGTCAGCCACTCCTCCCAATTTTGTGTCATCAGCAAACTTGCTGATGGTACACTCTATCCCTTCATCCAGGTCATTGATGAATATATCGAACAGGACTGGACCCAGTACTGACCCCTGAGGGACACCACTTGTTACTGACCTCCAACTAGACTCTGCACCACTAACCACAACCCTCTGAGCTCTATCTGCCAGCCACAAGGAAAAGCAGGAGCAGAAGTTCAGGGACTACGACAGAGCTCCCGGCACAACAGGAAAAATGGGAGATCTTTGGTATGAAAACAGAGAAATTGCTGAGAAGTTACTGCGTAAAATAAATGCAGCCAAACACATTGAAAAAATGCCATCAAGCTTGAGCCTTGTTTGTAAACTACAGACAAGCCAAAAATAATGAATCAGGAGTCAGCCACAGAATGAGTCTTGGTCAATTTTGAACTGTGTCATGGAAAATCTGCTGGATGTCACAGGACTGTTAACATAACTAACAATCATTACCTTGTTAGGTGGAATTGTGTGCAATGACAGGTTGATGAATAACTCATAATCCTCAGGTAGAATGCTGCAAGGATCCTTGCTAATAAATGCATTTTTAAATGCTTCCCATATCTCTGAACAATTCTTCTCACTGTAATAATTGAAACAAAGAAATAGTAGAATTGTTTTTTCAAAGCAGAGCAAGAAAGTATTTTGTTCCCAACTCCTTCAAAATCCCAAATTAAAACCCCCACAAGTTTAAGATAGAAAACTGAAGTTAGGGTGGTAGAAAACTTGCAACCCAGGAAGAGCACATAGATCTTGTCGTTACCTGATACCTAACAGCAGCAGATTAGGAAGGAAAGCAAGGAAAATATTAGGATTTAGAGTGTGGAATTAGAAATACATAGTAATTCAACAAAAATCTTAGAGGGTACAGTATACACAGCAAGCATGCTATTCAGCATTTTAGAAATACTAAAGAAAATGCTTTTCTTTGAAATCTTCCAGATTCAAGAAGCCATTTCAATCAAGGCACAGCTAAAAGTGCAAAGCTACTGAAAGGTAAAATTACTCTTAAAATGTCAGATTCAAGTGCAGGAGGAGTTACTGAAAAGTTTCAATAGTAGAATAAAGGTTTTGACAAACATGCCTTCTACAGGCTCTAGGATGACGCAGCTTTACCTTGCTGGAATGAGTACCGTGACCGTGGGACACGTACTGTCACTGTGTAGCAGCTACAAGAATACTGTTAGGATTCAGCATTTAAACTGCTTGTGACGGGAGGCCTGAAATAAAATGCCAGGCTGCGCAATTCAATGGTTCCCTTCTGCCAGCTCTGCCTTGGGCACAATAATCTCTTGCGGAAGGACAGGACAGGCCATCTAGGGACGGAAGTGTATTATCTCCCTGGATTGGCAGGATCTCATCTGCCACAGCTCTGAGCAAGCCTGGAGAAATCAAAAAGGGAATTGCTACTTTCACCACTTTCCCGCAGTACCTTTCCGACATACGCTGTGACAATGTCTATGATGGGAACACTCTGCAGAACAGAATAACGTATTTTATATGCATACAGCATTCCTAACGTGAACAGCTGCAATTACAAAGCTGTAGCTTGAACAACAGTAGTCCTGAGAAGTAAACCATCAGAGTGTTTTTCTCATTTAATGTTATCCATAGACAGCGAGGTTTCTGCTGGTGCTTCCCCTCGTGCGATTCTTTAAGGAGCTGCTTTGCGCTGCTGTATGTCGCAGACACTTTAAAGATAAAGGACCCCTTATAATGAGCTATGCGGCTTCCATACAGGAAACAGACCACAGATTCTCTTACAGTTATCTCTGGTCATGCTTCCAGTAACTATATAAAAAACCCCAATATTTCGTAGGCAAATATGGGATCTTGATCTGAAAGTCTTCAGTAAGGCAATATGACCCTTGATTAGTAGTTCCAATGTTTAAATAGCCTTACTTGATAAAAGGATTTGCACCCTATTTCTCATTTCAGGCTGTTAAACTTTAGCTTCTGACAACTGCATATACTTATCTCTCTGCTAAAGAGCTGTCTACTGTAAGCACTCACTTATTCATGCTAGTACTTGTAAATTATGATCAACTGAACTCTTAACATCCTTCTTGACAGTTGAATCCAGCAGTAATTTTCTGGTTAATTCACATATTACATGTTTTTCCTTCATGTCTTCTCATCCAGGTTTGAACAGCTTTTAAATCAAAAGGATTATTCTGCTCTGTTACCCAAAGTTTCTTAGCTGGCAAAAATACTGGTTGAAACTACAGGGTGGGGAAGGACTGTAGTTCAGGACAATTCCTTCCAATCTTAACAGACTCTAGTAAGTTGTATTAGATTTATTTCATACTAGTCAGTTAAAAAAAAAGTTTGCAAAACTTCCATTATATACTACAAATAAAGAAACATGGGGGAAATGTGCTACATGAACATTTGTGTTATAGAGCATACTCCTATTAGAAAATTGCAAATATGATTTCCATTCAAATCCCTCATTTCTACATGACCATAACATCTTGTAAAATGCACCTTTTAACTGCCATTTTGCATGTTTTGTTTTAATGTAAGGGAAAGTTTTTCTTATGTTTCTAGAAACTTCTTTATGTTTTAACTATGTTGCAGTGTAAAGATATGCTTTGCTAGCTTATTTTCTGTTAGCAAAGTATTTTTAAAAAATTATTCTATTGGCACATAAATTCAGAAGCAAAACCTATCCAGGTGGCCATGCCTCTGTAAAAGCTAGCCTGGGGACAATTAAGAAACAGACAATGAACAGAAAGGGTTATAAATAATTAGAATATCTGTTTTGCACCTGTGCAAT